GCTGACTCTCATTGGAAAGATACCTTATGGAGGATTGAACCCTTCTGTTCAGTCACTATTGCTGCAGTATTTATGTGTTCAGCCAGCCGTATTCTGAGGTTGTCCACAGTCTCAGAACAGGACTGAGAATGAAGGCCGGCGGAAGAGAAACTCCACCAGCAGTCCCACAGCTCTCATGGGCAGAAGCCTCTCTGTAAGAGCTGATTTTCATTCCATAGTACACAAGCAATATGCAGTTTTCCTGAAGTCAGTTCTTACTGCTCAAAACTGACAAAGTTCCTAGGGGAGTTCACATCTGTAACACTACCCTTGCCAGATTTAATCAGATATTGTACCAGTTAGCCATCTATAGTTTGATTGTGTAATCTAGATAGAATACACTTGTAAGCTATCTAAAAGACATCTCTGCTTGTACAGCATGATATCTTAGGTCCTGATGCACAAAGCAGACACCGAGACAGACCCAAATGTTTCTTAAAGAAGATACACTATCACTCAAACCAACGCATAATACCCTGGTGATCCAAATATCAGAAGGCTTTTAGAGACTGCACTGCACGGACAGTGTGTTATAGTTGATAGCTATTACATCTCTGCTGTACAACTTAAATAACATTTAAAGACATTTTTACAGCAAAAGCTTTATCACAGGAAGAAATAGACATGCTCTTCTGTAGTCCCTCATGGCAGGAAACCTGTGATCTTTGTCTGGCCAATATTCAGGCACACCTCTGAGTGGAGGAGTCAGCATCTCTATTTGGTTAAGTGAAGGCTTAGGTTTTCCAGCCTTTACCAGTAGCTGTTCTCCAACCCTGTTATTGGCAACATCTCTGCTCAAGAAGAGAACTACTACTATAAGTAACTCCCTAATATACCTGGTGACCCTACCCTTTAAGGTTGTGGAATACTAAAACAAAAAAGGGCAACGAAGCTGGTGCAGGGTCTGGAGCGCATGTCTTACGAAAAGCAGCTGAGGGAACTGAGGGTGTTTAGTCTGGAGAAGAGGAGGCTGAGGGGAGACCTCATCGCTCTCTACAGCTCCCTGAAAGGAGGTTGCAGAGAGCTGGGGATGAGTCTCTTTAACCAAGTAACAAGTGGTGTCCCCATCCCTGGAGGTGTTTAAGAGTAGGGTCAACTTAGCACTGAGGGATATGGTGTAGTTGGGGACTGTCAGTGTTAGGTCGATGGTTGTCTTTTCCAACCTAGATGATTCTGTGATTCTGTAAAACTAAAATGAAGTACAGGAAGTTAGACTGAAGTAGATATTATAAAAACTTTTCATAGAATGGTTGAGATGGAAATTCTAGTAAGAGACAACATTATTGATTTTCATAATGTCACAGAATACCACACAGAGACAATTCAGCAGACTCAAAAAAAAAAAAAAAAAAAAAAAAAAATCCATAAATATTATTGGAAAAACCAATTGATTAGTTAGTGACAGCCTGAGGTACTCCTTAGCATACACAAAGACTTCAGAATTTAGTTCAAAATACTCAAAAGCTTTGGGAGAAGTTGAGCTAGAATCATATCACACCACACTGTCTTAAGGCAATACTGTTAATTCCTTTATCCCAATAAGGTACAATTTCCTGATGTACATGAAACTGTCAATGTACAGAACTCCTCTGAAGCTCATGAAGTGCTTCTTCCTTTTCAGCTGGTAGGTGAAATTATGAAGTTGGTCTCTGTTCAAATCCTTCATGTCCTTACTGAGGAATAAATATGGTTGCAAAGCATCAGTGCAAAGCAGTTAAAATTTATTTTGAGTCAGAAAATTTACCATTTTGGAAGAGAATTTCTGTTGTGACTTCTCTCTTCCTACTTTCTTCCCCTCCCACTATCCTCCCATTTACACAGTAAAAGTTATTTGATGATATCTATGATCCCCTTTTGTATTATTATTTTGACAACCCAGCCAGTAACATCAAATTTTTGTTCAGTGAGGAAAAAAAAAAATATATGGAGAATAGCTAGAGTAAGTGTTTCCTGGAAATTTCATACAGTTCATTAAGAACTGTGATTGCAACGGCAGTCAGGAGTGATGGGGGAAGGGGCAGAAAAGAACAGAATTAATCTCTTGAAAACTATGAAGAATTGTCAGCCATAGAGAATGAAACTGATTGAGCTTTCCCATTTTTCTCTATTGATACATCTCATGCAGTGTGACTAAGATGATTCAAGCTACATGCTCAATCTCTTTTGACAAAAATTAGGTTATTTAGATTCACACATATTGTGCATATATAAGTGAACAAGAATGAGAGGGGGACGAAGAGACACTGCGGACATATATGCATAGTAAATACAACTTCATCTTCCCATCGTTTTTGCAGTCCTAGTAAATACTAACCATACAATTAAAATCAGTTTTGCTCAGGGGCACAGCCAGTTGCCAGTCAGCTAGTGTAATGGCCAGGACTGCGGTCAGCCAATGCACTGTTCTACCTGGAAATACTGTACACACTGTGGGGAGCAGCTATTGACCTCTCTCTAAGCAATAATGCAGCCATTTTACCTGATAGTTCTGTCTGATCGACTTTCAAGACCAGAAAAATATAACTCTGAGACAGTCACGTGTGATATGAGACATAGAATATCCTATAAAGAGACAGTATCTGGACTGCTATTTCCCACAAAGAGACAAAATTAAGTGTTCTTCCTGATGTCCTGAGAGGAAAAAGCACACACTGTGCTCTTTTAGTTTCTCAAAATTCTCCACACACAACCTTGCTTTCTTCCTTTTAACTCTGAGTTCATTTATTATCTGTAATGGTTTGACAAGTAAATGCAGTTTAGTATCTGGTTTGTTTGTGAAGTGTTCAATCCTTGAATTGCTGAAGCTAGTTATTTGTGTTGGGTACTTTGTCGCTGGAGTCATAAAATGTTTTTTCCGCTTCCAGACATTGGCTTGAAACTTGTACAATAGAAATAATATGAATGCCAAATAATTATTTAATCTGCCCAATTGATAACATAATTTTATCATGATAGTATTAATCATTTACAAATACCAAAAAGATTTTTATGATAATTGTTCTGGGTGGGGACTCACGCATATGAAAACAGGTATAAAAAAAACCCAGCATCAACTGCACTTTTTCAAAAGCGTAATTTTTATTTTCCTACAGGTTTATTTAGGTGAAAAAAATTACCACTAAACTCTTCTGAGATTTTGTAGGTATGCTTCTGTACATGAAAGATGACCTTATTCTTATGTGATACTCTTTCTAACAGTGTCTTGTCTAATAGGCAGAACTGTGTCTCTTTCAAATATAGAGTGCATAAAGTTCTTCTCAGTGTAAAAAGATGAGCTATTTCAATATATACAGTTAACTATTGTATGTATGTGGTTGACATGATGTAGCCATAATCCAATTTATCTGAGTTCTTTCCCTTGCTAAAAAAAAAGAGTAAAACCAAAATCAACAGAAAAATGGGGGTTTTCCATTCTTTGAGATTAGTCTGCTAGATTTCTATTAGCAACTATGATTTTTCACCTCCCAATCCGGCTGAAAACACAAGTCCATTTTAATTATTTTTCTGCATTATATACCTGCAACATATATAAAAGATCAAAATATGTAGCAGAAACTGTGAATTTAAGAAAGCCAAAATCTTTGTTATGTGTTAGTTTTGTGTTTGGTTTTGATGGCTTGACGTAAAATCACAAAATTTGTATTGATAAAAATGATGCTTTTGTCTTCTAAAGATCTGGGGTTTTGTAAAAATCACTGGATTTCCTCTTCTTTCTTAAAAACTGTTGATATTGGTGTATTCTTACATTTTCTCTGTAATTTATATATCCTTCTCAATCTTATAATTCAGTTTAGTTCAGTTCATGTTGGGAGTTTTATTTTGTTTTCTTTAACTGGGATATAATAAAGTGAAAACCCCATCTACTGCTGTCACAGCCCCTTTTTGCTTTCCTTGAATCCACGGAAATCCAAGACATTTGTTTTATTGACTTGAATCTTGGCAAAGTGAATGTTTTGAAGGAACAAGAATTTTGCTCTAGAAAACATTATTTAATGGAAAATCTAGAGGATTTTCCCTGCCTCCGCCTATTTGACACATGGTCTTCTCACATCCACCTTCCACATTTTCCACTGACACACTGAAAATGTCATAGGAAAATGCTAAGAGAATGTAACTAATACTTAAAAGTGGTTTATATGCAATATTTTTAAGAGGAACATTTATTGTGATTATAAATCTTTGGGTTTAGACATTGGTGTCTTTTAAAAAAGGAAAAATACCCTCTTATCAAAGCATCGTTTGTCAAGTGCACACGATACTCAAAATGCAAACCAATATGTATTTTTATTGATTGTTTCAGGCCTTGTTACAAGTGTATGCTTTAAGACTCTGGAAATCAGCATTTGAGATTTGCTAGGAGATAGAGCAGAGTTCCCAAATAACCTATATTTTCCAGGGTATAAGGAATACTGGCTGATCAAAGGCCATAATATCCGCTTTTCTATTAGGAAAATTTCAAGAAATTTCAATACATTTAAGCTCCAGATCATGGTTTTCTAATATTTAGGCTAAAGAAGTCACCTTTCACTATCACTGAAACAAAGAAAAATCTTTGGACTGCTCTGCATCTACTTACTCAGTTGTGGGATTCACACAAAGGCTGCTGAGCAGCGAGTGTTATGCACAAATACGAGATCAGTGCTTACACTTTTGTACTCCCTTTTGGGTAAGCACATCTTTAGTCATGAAAGGAAGATTTCTATGTAAAACCTTTGGTGCCTAGAAAGTCTAAGATGTCCAGGAAGGGTTGGAGACGTTACTTGGAGTCTTTGTTGGGAAAGTAGGCACTTAAGTCATGTCTGTACTAGAAAGAGTGGGGAGGAATTCCTCTGGTCTATCAGCTAGCCCAGTACAGCTCTCCTGCAAGCATCTACATTTTTTCCTTTTTCTTCAAAAAACAACATGGCCATATCAAAAGTGCTTATAGGATGCAGTGCTTGAAATACACCTTTTCCCAGACGATGGCTGGGCACCGTCTAGAACTGTATGAGTTAGCACAGGTGAAAGCTGTGGATACAGTCCGCTAACCAGCTAGGTATTACTGGTGAGCCTTCTCTGGTTCTCAAATCTGGCTCTGACCATATTTGTTATCCTCATCTAGATATGACTTTAAATTCCACCTCAACTACACACTAGTTTTGGGCTCCTCACTACAAAAAGGATATTGAATTAACTCGAGCGTGTCCAAAGAAAGGCAACGAAGCTGGTGCAGGGTCTGGAGCACAGGTCGTACGGGGAGTGACTGAGGGAACTGGGGGTGTTTAGTCTGGAGAAGAGGAGGCTGAGGGGAGACCTCATCGCCCTCTACAGCTACCTGAAAGGAGGTTGCAGAGAACTGGAAATGAGCCTCTTTAACCAAGTAACAAGCGATAGGACAAGAGGTAGTGGCCTCAAGTTGCACCAGGGAAGGTTTAGACTGGATATCAGGAAGCATTTATTTACAGAATGGGTTGTTGGACTTTGGAATGGGCTGCCCAGGGAGGTGGTGGAGTCCCCATCCCTGGAGGTGTTTAAGAATCAGGTTTACATAGTGCTGAGGGATCTGGTGTAGTTGAGAATGGTCAGTGTTAGGTTAATGGTTGGACGGGATGATCTTCAAGGTCTTTTCCAACCTAGACAATTCTGTGATTCTGTGAAGTGTTAAATTGGTGCTTTTCCATGACATTTACTCCTCCAGCTACTCAGACTCTTTCATGCCAGTTCTCAGACCTGAAAAAGACCTGGAAAAATGGAGGATCTTTGTGGGAAGGACTGAAGACCAGCATCTCCTATCTTCTAGGCTAGTTTTCAGGACACCATGAGGGTTTCACCTGCTACTTCTTGGACATCTTACAGTGTTCTGCAGAGGTATCTTGCCCCACAAACCTGAAGTTTCTTTTGAAGAAACCAGAGCATGGGGGTCGGAAGGCTGATAAGTATCAGTATCTCATCCCACAGTGGGATATGACCTAAATCCATATCCAGACAGAAGTCTGAAACCATGTAGCCTCACTGGTCAAACCAGAGCAACATGGGACTACCATATTAAAAATCTCAATATAGACTTCAGACAAGGTTGAAATGGGCTGCAGTAAAAAGGATATAAAGTGGAAGGCATTTATCTGAGAAATATATCTCAGGAACAGGTATACTCATGCATTTTTTAAAAATATGGACAAGAGTTCAAATGCAATTTTGAGCCAAAGCTGAGGACTTTTGAATCAGAGCAGGAAGATGATGTGTACAAACTGAGACTGGATACATACAAATGTTCACAGAAGCCTATGATTGCATTATTTACTTCTGCTCTTGAATAAGCATTTATTTCCTGTCTTGCTTAAGTAGACACATGAGTTTGCTCATTCTCCTGTTACCATGTGTGGTGTGCTGTTTAATACACTCCATATAAACTGATGCACATTTTCAAATATGATTCATGAACCAACTTACTACTCTTAGATCTATTCTATGAAGAGAACCTTTGGGTTCATACTAAACAGATTTACAGTGTTAGTGATCCGGAAGGAACATCTGTGAATATTCATCTGTTATCAGAACCAGCATTACTGTCTCCCACCAATAGACTATGATCACTGACTAACTAAAAATAGAAAAACAGTTACTTTATGTCTTTTATTGTTGCAGATGTCAATATAGCCACTGAAGCATTAAAATTTGGTGGGGGATATAGTCAACACTAGAAAAACCACTTGCTGTTTAGAAGTTTATTTAAAAACAAAAATTATACACATTACCTAGACTTCCTTCTCATTAATCATCTACTGTGGACAAGAAACCTTTGTAAACAATTAAAATTAGATTTGTAATGAAAACAAATAATGTTCTACAGAATGCAGTAGGCAAAAACTACTATAAAGAGATAATCACAAACCATAGATTAGTGATAAAGGCTTCATTCACTTTATCACCCGGCTACCTTACCCACACCTGCCACCATTGCAAACAAGCTAAGATAAAAGTTTTGTGATTCTGGGACTAATACATTGAAATTAATTATACTGTTTAAGCTGCTATTAACACTAATAAAATTATAACTGATGACATGAAACATACTGAAATCAAACCAAACTCTCAGCTAGATTGCTCTTTTCAGGTGTCAGTTTTTGAATTTTCAGTGCTTAAAAATTTAATCTAACCTTCCCTTTTTATTAAAAAAAAGGTCTAGGAAGAGGAAAATAATCAGCTGACTATATTGCTTTTCAGCCCGTGATAAAGGAAAGGTGTTACTAAGATTTTCAGATATTCTGAATGAATACAAAAAGGCAATTTTTGTTATATAACAACCTAGATAGCAAGTATCTAGCCAGTAAATAATGTACTTCAAAACAGATAAGTGGAAAATAAAATGTGAAACAAGCAAACCTGTACTCAGTTATGTAGGTTTTTCATCACCTTTGTAGCCTGGTGTTTAATCTATTTTTCTATGATGACATGTGAAATTTTTCTGTGTCCAAAAGACTACTTTAATTCTTATCACAAAGTCCATTGATCAGAATTGAATAGGTAAAAGAAACTAAAACTATGTTTATTTTGCTTTTCTGTACAAATAATAATAATAATTGTAATAATCACAGGTCCTGCAGTCATGACTACACAGCATCAGATGACAGCATCTTTAATGTGTTTCTTTTAGCTCCCAAATGTAGACATTGGTCCTCACTTTTGTAGATTTATACCCTAGTCTACAGCTGTTTGTGTTCAGGAACCCTAATGAATGTTTTAGTGCTGTGGACTGGATAAGGTTTTATTTGAAGGGAAGCAGCACCATCTATTGCAACTTGATAGCTTAGCTCTAGATAGTATAAAGAACAGAGCCATCCTGAGTCTGGCTTTAAACTCTTTCTTGCACTTACTTTCATAAGATTTTCCCAGACCAGCTTCAAATGAGGTTAGGATCTCAGTTTGTATATGATAAGGTACAGAGTCGGGGGGGG